AGGAGGGGGAGGAGGAGGAGGAAGCTGTAGGGGGTTGATGTGGGAGAGAGGAGGGGTGTGGGTCTGTCTGTCACTCCTCTGGCCCCCTCCTGTAGGTACAACACAGAGAAAGAGACTGTGCAATAAAACCTTTTACGCTATATTACACTCTTCATCCAATGTTTTTATATTTTTAAAGCATTTTATAAATGAACATCAAAAATTGTATTGATGCCGTTACTACTAAGTGTCCATCGTGCAGAGGCAGAACTGTACCAGTGCTGTGTGTGTGTGTGTATATATATATCTATTGTCTTGATGAACTTGGTCAGAGGCTGCTATCAGCCAGCGCTGACTGACTTTTTGGCCTTAGCACATGCTGCATGCCTTTCACCAGGGCTGGTGTACTAAAGGTCAATGTGACATCTGCATACTTGTAGATATGTAAATGTGTATTATGTTGTTTTTTTCAATTCCTTTTGAACTTGAAAATATGTATCTATTGCATATCCGATGTTTAGAATATATTGTACAATTGAGAAAAAAGGGACATATAAGTTAGTTTAATATGTAACCACAGATCCTGTTTCTGAGAAGAGAAAAACTGTTCTCTCCTCATTATAACACTTCAGCTCGCTGTTTTCAGACCAGTTAACATGATTCATCAGCGCTACTGTTGTTATTGTGCTGAATTCTCTGAAAGGATGGCGCCTTTACTTTCAAAATGAGGCCCCCCACCCCCCCCTCCAGTAAGTCAGTTCAGCACATATCGCACGTTTGCTGATGAGTCAAACATGAGTAATGTCTACCATATGTTTTGTGTATCACAAATTTGCACGGAAATGGATGACGGTCCTAGGGAACTTTTGAACTGGGAGATAAAGCTAACAAACACAACATCGTACACTTTATAACAGTCTGGAGAGGAATCAGGAGCTGTCCAGTGTTACCAAAGTAAGCACCGTATTGTGCTCATCCACAGGCCACTCCATTTCACGCGCAAGGGCCTGGATGTGTAAGAATTTCTCTGAATGTCTGTATTGAACACTAACGCCTGTATTCAGTGAAAGACAATGTGGAAGTGAGTGCCGCTGTCAAGCCCAGGATACAGAAAAGGTTCTGACTTTGATAATGTCCCTTTGATGAACAAGATACCGTGTGTTTGATGGGAGAGGAACACGTTATGGCACTTTCGGAGTCTGCAGTGCAGTAAAGGACACACATGGCAACACTATGGAGCAGTCAGCACACTCTGGAGACTAAGTGAGATTGGTGTGTGTGTGTGTGTGTGTGTGTGATGAGTTCACAATAAAATGTTTGATACACTGCTCGACTGACGTGTCTTCTTAATGTAGGCAGCAGACCTCTAACCTGAGCCTCTGGGGCAGACTGAGATGTGTTGAGATGACTGTGAACACATGTGGGATGTTTGGTCTCAAAATTGCCTTCCTCTTGTGAAGATGCTTTGCTTAGATTGACTGCTTTCAGGAAGTGATTTCTCGCGGTTTCAGAGCTGAGCCTCAACTACTAATCATTTCATGCAGAAAACCACATTTTAAAAAGAGCATTTCTCTTCGGGCACTGAAAGATTAACCAGGTTTGTGTTGTTGAATGCAGCTTAAGAGGGGTTTTTATTAGACATTTAGCAGAGTCTGGCTGTGCTGCTCAGGCTACTGTGAGCTCAGACTCATTTTATTTTGCAGTGATTGAGGATGTTTGCGGATATTTTGAACGTGCATTTTATGGCGCAGTGAGGGGCAGTTAGTTCATTCAGATGTTTGCAGGCTGGTTGAAGCCTGGACCCTGTAAGAGAACCTCAGCTCATTGCTGTATAGCTGTGAGACAGACGCGTGCCTCATTATGATGCCACATAAATCCGATTTGTGTCATTCGGCCTCAGTCGGTAAGTCTGAATTTACAACTAACATAACCCGAGTTGGAGCTAAACCCCCCTTCCTTTGAACAGATACGACCCCAGCGCGAGATACGTGTTACTAGTACAGTTTTTTTGAATGAGTAGATTTAACTTTTACTAACCTTATATTTGTCCATATTGTACGTGTGTCCTGAAACGTTCTGCATAGTAAGAGCGCATTAAAATCTGAGTGTGGTGCCATTGTGGGAGGCATGAATCATTTGGTGTTCTCACATGTGGAGGCGTTTTTAAGGTGGAATTTCAATAGAGAGCAAGACCAAATTATGCAGAAACAATAAGGAAACTAAATTATGTCCATGCGGTGGACTAAACTGTGCACACATGGACCTGCAGAACAACAGGTAATAAAAACACTCCTGTTGTTGTTATTATTATTATTATTATTATTATTATTATTATTATTATTATTATACGCACTATTATTATTATTCGGGTTTTGTTTAACCCTGTTGTAATGGCTGCTATATTACGCAGCGTCCTGTCTCCGGGCCTATCGGTCGGCTCCGGGCAGCAGGACCTGATTCTGGTTCTTTATCGGTTCAGGCTTCATATCTTCACCAACACGGTGTCCGGATGCTACGGCCGTTGTGAGTCTATTTGAGCCGGGGCATGTGGCGCTTTGATTTCCTGTCCTTCGTGTGCTGATAGGCTGCTTTCGCCTGTATCCGACTGCCCTGACAGTCAAATTGCACTCAGTCCTCACGCTAAGTTTGGTGAGTGCAGGTTGAAACGGTCCCTGAACTAACTGAAGTCTTCAACACTGAAATATTTACTGTGTGGAAAAATTGGCATGAGTTGATTTATTGTGATAAGTAAATGTGGGTGTAGAAGATGTTAAGTTCATATAAAAGTATGATCTTAATTTTGGCACTTGATAAAACTTAAATACTAAAAACTAAAAATACAATAATCTTAAAGGAAAAAGGGAATGAAGCGCCAACATAGACAGTGCAGTTCAGTAACACACAGTTCCAATCAAATATTAATGATGCTTATTTTCCTTATGATAATCAAAGTTCCTCTTTCTCCATCACTCTAATGGTTTTTGGGGATTCGTTCATTGCACCTGCAGCGGATAAAAGGCACAAGGACGCACGACTCCTGTCCTATTGTTCGGTGCGTAATGACGCTTAACCGGCGCTACAATCTGCGTCCTGGGCGAACAGAAAACAAATTGTCTCTGTTATGGGTGTCTTTCTTCTGAGCATAATACCCAGGGTAACGTGAAACTACCACCGCGGGCGCGAGGACGGAGAGTGTCTGTCACATAATAACAGTGTGAGGCCCAGCTGAGCAGCACACCGGGACGGAACCCGACAAACTCAATTTAACTCACTCAGGATTTATGCTGAGGTATTAACTATATTATTACAGTTCAAGCTTATTTTATTCCTCTGTATTTTTAGGAAGAAGCCGAGCAAACACACTGCGGGGATGTGCCGGCTATAATGTTGAAACTGCATTTCTAAGTGAATCTATATTAAGGTGCTACTGTCGGTTCAGACTTTTCCCCCACCCTTTTATTTTACCACTGCATGTATACATACAGACTCTGAGCAACTGACACCCTGGGGTGCGCCTCCGCGTTTCCTCTCCCCCTGTCAGATTGAGTAAGGAGCTGATAAAGGACCTGTATCACTTCTCCTGATTGCCACGGGCTCCTGGAGACACGATCTGCAGCCTGTCTGAGGGGGGTGGGGTGGGGGCAGCAGCTCCGGGCGGTGGGCCGCAACACTGCAAAAAAAAAGTCCGGATTTCTGTTTTTAATTTTTTTTGTTTTTTAATAAGATCAAAAATAAATGAAAGTAACTCCTAATAATTCCACGGGTGTTTCCAAAAGCTAAACACTTCGTCATTAGCTGAGATGTGTGAGCAGAAGTCGCCCCCGCTGCACACTCTTTTCCAGCTACCTGCAACCACACTGGCAGCTGACTAATACTAATACACCGCAGGCGGCTCTTTCTTTGCAGTGCAGTGAGCGCAGGAGCCGCTGCAGTGACACCTGTCCGCACACAACACCTGGCAGACGGGACGGGACGCTGTGCGCATGCTCCGTCGTCAGGTTGCAATCTCTTAAAGCACTTGGAACCGCATCTCGCCGCCGCCAGTGCGGATCAAATCTTCGCAGGGTTCAGAGCGAGCCGAGGACGCCTCTCTGCAGCCGGATTATCATCATCATC